TCAGGGAACTCCTGAGTGAGTGTGGGCCTATTTGTCGGCCAGGCATCACCAGTACCACGCAGTCTGCTACGTGTCGATAGGGGCCTGACCTGAGGCTCAGGCTGAGGCTGTCCAGAGGTCCTACGCTGTTTCCAGGGTCCTATATGTCCACTTGAGGGGTCAGCCTGATCGTTAAGAAGCCTTCTACGTTGCCCATGATTACTTTGCATTTGCTCGAAGGGCCTTGCGCTCTTGCTGGGGCCCTTCCTGCCAGCGTGCCAGGGCGCCCTTTGTCAAGCAGGAACCTTCCACGGATTCTTTCCATTCGCCGAAACGCTCTACACGCTAGAGCCGGGGGCCCATGTTTTGACATGCCGGGGTATTCTTGTTTGCGCAGGGCCCTTCACGTTGGTCACGGTTGACCCACCGGCACACTCACGATATACGCATGGGCCCTCTTTAGTGGTCTAGGGCCCTTTCAATTTTCTGTCACTTGCTTAGGGTCTCAATCTCTCATCTGGGGCCCATCTGTTAACCTACTTGGGCTCACTCGGTCGTTCGGGGCCGTCCACATTGGGTCCTGAGTACTTCCTATTTCAATGGAGGGCCTCATGGACTTGTCGAACCCCCCATCTGTTCACCTGCTCGGGTACACTGGACTATTCTGCGGCCCTGCACAATGGATTTTAATATTTGAATGTAGGGCCCTACGTGGAAAAACGGCCAAGGGGCGCGTGGCTTGGAGGGCAGGGTACCGAGCTGTGTACGCTGTTGGAGGCCAGCAAGAGTGAAGTGCTGCGTGGCTCAAATGCATAGCATTTTTGAGATCCGCTAGCTGCTTCTTACATATACACACGCAACACACACACACAAACACGCACACACACACACATATATATATATATATATATATATATATATATATATATATAAGCATATTTCCGTGTGATAATTGCTAACCAGGGCAACCCAATGCGCTGAAACCGATACCAGTCTGTGCACACAAATGAGCCCAAGTTTTGGGGTAGACAACTTTAGGCACCTGAACTAGGATGTAGGTCACGTCAGGTCGCGGAGTGACTTCACGCAAACAATTATAAGTGACACATCTCCAGAAAGGAAATGCAGTTACGGGTTGAATGACGCCACTGGATTGATCGAATAACGCCTAGTTCAAACGTTATAAACCCAATTTTTGGAAATGCTCGGTTTCGTTCACACTGAATAAGTTACCGTTGACTTTAACACGGCACCAAGCGACGTAAAAAATTCTGACCACTTTGACTTTTTTAAAGCATGCTATAAAAGTAGCGGAGCTGTGATAATGTGGTGTGTATCAGTTTTTCTTTAAAAGACACCCAAAACTTCGACCTTTAGGCGTCACCGCGTGCCAGATCGATAATCGTTGCGTGCATAGGTAACGCGTGATGATTGCTACACAAGGCAGCCTATGCGTGTGGCACGCGGCGTATTTATCCGACGCGGACCACACGCTGTTTTTCAGTGTGCAAGTACAGTTTTTGTTTGTTTCGTTTGGCCCGGGCGCTCGTTCCGGACATGCGCCAGGACGATCAATGGAGAGTAACTCTTTAGAAACACCGACCTCGTTGGAGAAGAAGGTTCGACCAGCATATGGGCGCGTGCGAAAGGTACAGTGCCAGTGAGAGGAACACGTTAATGGAAGATCACATCGGCGTGGCGCGCCGACGGCCGGGCGCTCGACGCCTCCACCTCGGGAAAATGTAAGCCCGGCGGAGAAATCACCAACCCTTCGACGACCTTGATATGCCGGCCCCTTTTTCTTTTTTTAGATTAGTTAGAATATGCGTTCTGTAGGTCTTTTGAGATTACGTACTCGCACATAGAGTCTCATCCGTCATATGTCGTGCATTCCTTTCGTGCTCGCGTCGTATCATAGCAATTGGCATTTCTAATGCATAAATATGCCGTTACTTTGTGCTGTTAAACGGCGTGCTGACCCCTGCCTGGTATTGCTTTACGCGTGTCAGTGAACAGTCTCGAGGAAAATAGCACGCCAACGAGCAACTTGCAGCCTGAATTCTGTACTGTGAGAGTGGACGCGTCGTGGTCACGTCCATGTGTATATGTCAAATAATGATCTTGTACAGCTCACATACTGCGTACAGCCTGGAGCTACTTTGAATTTTCCACGAGTGTAATGAAAGGATCTTTGTCACCAAGGGCTAAATGCGTCACAGATGCTTTGAGTTATGACTCCTCGCGGGGAGCGATGGAGACGCGGTAGGCGGTATCTGGCCGCGGGTTGAAAAGTCCCACTCCCTACAGAAATTAGGAAGTTGGCTGTTGTCGATCTCTCCGCGATTCACAGATGAAGGGGACGCATTTTTTGCACCTTGCTGGCTGTAAGTGAGATTGCGGTAGCATGTGTCGGTACCGTTGATGGACTCGCGACTCGCAGAACTTGAGATTTACTTTTAAGCTGCCTTCGTGCGACTCCTAGAAGGTGAAAGCCGGAAAAGGGCATCGGGCTGTCGGAAAAGTTAGCTGATTATTTCCGTTGGTGGACTGACATGCGGCCTCAGAAAGGGGTTTGCTAAGATGACCCTGAGTAACTGACCCTGAGCAGCGGCAGTGAATTCGGTCAGCTGAGAGCACCGTTATTATAATCATTACAGCGACTCAAGAAGGCGAGGTTCTCACTTATGAGCCGATGAGGGATTCGGGCATTATTCTGTAACGAGAGAAGATGGGTGCAACGTGGTGATGACAAGGCGAGCCTTGCACCAGGTGGCTGCTTTTTACTGGAGATTAAGTCCGAGGTATGCGCGGTGTATGGATGTACGGTTTCGCTCGCAATTGAGGGGGATCTAGTCGCTGCACCTAAGCTGCAGACGGCGTGTAATGACTACCCTACAGGCCTCTCCCGAATATGATCGATGACAAGCATGGATGAGACAGTGTGAGCGTATGAATACTGGCTGCGGAATCCCAATAAAGTGACGTTTGCTGCCCATGTTAGGACGAAAGCATCTGTTTCGTAAAAGCTCATGTAATGTCGGTGCGCCAATGTTTTCGCCACCATTTGCAGTCGCCCCAGTTAGTTGGTTTATTACAGGGGATTGCCTCGATGGCAATTACCTGCAGGTCAACGCAGTGGGCCATCTAGCCAACAACCGTCATTGACAGTGGTATGCATAGTTAATCTAGGCAAACATATTATTGCCGGTATGCGTACTACTTCCAAAGAGCTTCTATCTTTTGTGAGGTTGATTATTGATGAGTACAGCCGCTATCTCTACAAAGGTGCTCGTAGCAATATGCATTACACGACGTCAGTGTGCGAATGTGTAACTTCAAACACCATACGGGAACTTCACCTAGAATTATCATTATATTCATCTTATTTCAATTATTTTATATTTAATTATGATATATTGTGTAATTCATCCAATTGTCAGATAGATATATATATATATATATATATATATATATATATATATATACATATATATATATATATATATATATATATATATATATATTCATCTAAAATTATATTCATAATCAAATTGAGTCAGGTACGGCGCTCGCTGCTATGCAAGCTAGGCTTGGGAATCCCGTGATTGCCGTTTGGTGCGTGTGAGAAATCCGTCCGGTGAGCATGGCAATGTTGCGAGGAAAAATGAGGAGCCTTTGCTCGGAATTACACGGACGGCAAAGAAAAAGTCATAAATAATCTTAAATTATGATATAATGGAGAATGCCCGCGTAAAATGTGCTGAAATCAATATCAGTCTGTTTTATTTCAATGTGCACACAACTTACGCCAAAGTCTTGAGGTGGATACAGTGAGGCACCTAAGCTGGAATGTAGGTCACATCACGTCACGGGATGACCTCACGCAATTAATTGTAAATGACGCATTTTCAGAACCGAAATCTAATAACAAGATTATTGTTATGATTATGTCATATGATTATGATTATTATGTGACTAGATTACGTCATATTCGCTTGATTAAAAGAAGCCTAGTTAAAGAAATAGACACACAAATGACTGGATATAATCAGTTTCGGCCACAATGCGTTTAATTCCCGTTGACTTGAACAGTTAAGAGTCAAAACAACTTCCAAAATCCTGGCCTGTTAGATTTTCCTTAAAACGCTACAAAGGCAGTGGAGCTCAAATGCGGGGTGGGGGGGGGGGGGGGGCAGGTCTCCGGTTACTTGCTTTCTTATTTCAAACTTACGTCAAAGTCTTAAGGTGAAAAATGTTAGACACCTGAACACGTGCAGGTCGTTATCGATCTGGCGTGGGATGGCGTGAGCATGATCACGACGGACAACCTGCTTTCGCTTTGTTTGACTATGACGGAGACAAGTCTGGGGAATAATTTCTGGACCGGCCGAACGCAATCAGAGAATCTCCGTTGGTGATTATCGGAGAATTAAGAATTCGTTGAATAATTTTCCCTCAACTGAGCGCGCCCCTGGTCGATAACCAGTGACGTCATATCGTCAGCTGATGCTGGATGGTCGTTAGGCAGCACAAATGTACCCATTGACCTATACAGGTCTTTTATAGGTCAATGCATGAAACCCGTCCAAACTCCTTAACCAGTGACGTCACATACATAAGTGATGGGCCAGAGCCCTTATTGAGCACTCGAAGGCTTGCGTTAGGATAAGTATGAAAGGCAAATGTGGAAAATGGCTTGTCACGCCCGATGTTCAGTCCGTGTAATCATATCGTCAGTTGATGCTCCACGGCCTTCAACGTAGGTCAATCTATACAAGGTAATGCACAGTAACGTCATACTTTTAGCTTATTTATCACAGCACCTTTCATCCAGCACAACAATATTTGCATTTCCCTCGGCTCTGCCGTTAGCCAGGTACGAAAGAATATGATGAAAACACTTATGCTATATTTGGGGCTGAATTGATACAACCTGTTTTCAGTGACGTCACAAAGTTAGCTGACACATCCCGGCGTTCACTCAACACCACAGCACGCACACCTTGCAGCCATCACAGCTCTTTTATTCGCCGGCGGTTGTATGAATTATCGGTGGATGATAATGTGCATTTAAAAAGCGGCGAGCTTCTGTGCCGGTCTGCGAAAGGTGGGGGACCAGTCAATGAGATGCTTGGACGGGTGTGATCCTATTCCAGATGGACAGCCCACTCCTCTGTGGTGGGACTGGTCATGTGATGACCAGGGGTCTTTGAGGTTTTCCCGCTGTGGAATTTCATCCACGAAATACTTATTTTCTGTGCCACCTTAATGAGGCAGCTGGCTGCACTGCTTGGAGTGTAGAGTCAGTCATCCAGTGACTGTGGAGGTCTCCAAGATTTTTCTGGTGACTTGTTTGCATCTTCAAACTATGTACCCATTCTACTGCATTTGAAAGGGTCAAAATCACACCGAATTTCAATACCAAATTTGGCATTAAGCCTGAACCTAATCAAATTTATTGTGTGAACAGTACACACACATGAACAATAAAGGCTCTGCTCGCAACTGTTGTATGGTGTGTTGAATATTGAAAGCATCAGTTTGATACATGAACAATAAAGGCTGTGCTCATGGCTGCCATATTGACCACTGACCTATCTGGTTTGCAGTTCTTGGCAGCTGATATACCTGTTCAGCACAAAACACACAAGCTGATGTGTTCAAACAGTTCTGTGCTTGTGTATGACTTTGTCAAAGCACTTCAAATTATGTTGGTGGATTTGTAATTGCAGCTGCAGGGGATGAGCTAGCAGATGTATGCATTGCAGCACAGGCTAACATGACAATGATCAGGACAACTGTCACACAGTTAAGACAAGTGTGGCACATTGGGTCTTTGTACACCTCTTGTTTTTATGGATTATGACCTCCAGTTCAGCCAGGTCACAACCACAATTCAGTACTTGCCCCAAAGTGCCATGAGCTACCCAAACTGAGAAATTTCTCTCCCAAAATTTCCAAAATCTCACCAAAATATAAATTCTTGCTCACCCTCCTTCATAATAAGATCTTGTAAAACTGCCACATTTTGCAGACTGACTTCTGTGCACTAATTAGTAGACAGAAAGCTATTAAATTTGGTGCGAATATATTCTTTGGTTACATTCTGAATGAAGCTTTGAAGTTGAAGCATGTTGATGACATGGGCGCTCTTTTGTGTTTACAATCAGAATGTTATATAAGAAGGCTACAAATGAAAAAGAATATTGGTGATAGCCCATTGAGACAATTCAGTCCAATAACTGGTCAGCCAGCAGCTCCAGCTGACCAGTCACCAGTGGAAGGAGTCAGGTAGCTCATTGGTCATTCATTCCATTCTAACAAGGAATATTCCACATTTAAGGATATGGAGGCAAGCATTAGACATGATATGTTATCTTCATGGGTTTGTGTTTTGGCTTCTTCTCACAGTGTAAGATATAAAAAAGATAAAAAGATGTAGAAGTAAGAAATAAAAAATTCAAATATAAAAATATTTGCCAATGATTGCATATTTTTCACATGCCTTCACGTGCTGGGTCATGGAGCAGTCCTTAAGTCATTTGATTTCCAGTCTTATTTCCATCATAGCTTGTGTCATGGCCCAAATCCCTATATTATGTAGCACAAGGTGTAATTTGTGTCCACAACTTGCACTTAACGCATAAGCTTGGTTGGAAACCAACTTATGTCTGTTGATGCCACAAATTGTGTTGACATGCATCAGACACAAATAATTGAATAATTTGATGATCATGTTTTTTTACCTTGAGTACCATATAGCCATGTATTTGGTGGCATTTCATGACATTGTCATGGGGTCCTGCATGCTTAGGTGATGTTGAAAAAGTCTGCACAAAAAAGTTTGCATAAGTTTGCAGGTGTCAAGCTCAGAAACAAGGGGGTTTTCGGTTTTTGGAAGAGCAGTGCTGTGAACTGTGATTACATCTGCAAAATGGCTATCTCATTTCAAAGCTCCACACAAATGTGGGACACTCCCTTTAAGGATTAGCTTTCCCAAGCATCTCTGAGATGCTGGGATAACCATTCCAGCCAGGTGACCAGGCTAATGCTTTGGTGATTTCAGAGTTTATCATTGGGAAAGGCTTCAGTCCTGAATGGTTGACCAAAGAGGCTGTATGCTTGAGGATCCTCATGCTGTGCAATGCCATGCCGGGACTGCTCGCCCACCACTATTGATCAGCTGGTCCTAAAATCACGTGCCAGCTCGTTCTGATTGGATCAGGCCAAGAATGCATCCTGGGCTGGCACAATGTGCCATTGGGGTATAAGTTATACATCTATCTCCGAAAATATGGTGATGGTAGAATGCACTTTGTTGTCATGTGTTTACTGAAATTTGCTGTTGTTGGCTGGTGCTCATTTATGTCTGTGCTGTTTGAATGATCCATGGAGGTCTCAAACGCTCACCTGGGCAGCCAGTTGAATGTGATATGTTCAGGTGGGAGGGCAATTGACCCCTTGTAACAAAAACTAAGTGGGCTTGAGACACAAAATTCATGTGGCAGGTGGGCCAGTATGGGAACTGACTGGTGTTCATATTCGAATTTAAATGAGCATCAAGGACTACCCTAGTTAAAACATTGTTTAAGCAGAAGATTGCTTGGTGTCATGGGTCATTAACCTCCTGTTACCTTCATGAAGTCCAAACAAAATGCCTATTAACATCCCTGTGCTCAAGAAATTCATAGAAACGTCCAAAACTTTTCCACAAAGCAACTTCTCTGGTTAAAAGGCAGTTTGTTGTTGACCTCAGTGTGACCCTCATGCATGACCCAAGGTGGATGAAATGGGCCATAGTTCTAAATTTAATCATGTAGTCATCTAAGCAACCAACTCAAAGACTTATGGCTTCATCTCACACTCCATTGCCATGTCAGAATGAACATTTCCCTGCAAATTGCCTTTGCTGATATGCATGACCTGCCTTTGACCTACCACAGGTCAGCAACCTTTACAAGGTACATTTTATTCATACTACAATATGGGCTATTGCGTTACCTGCAGCTACACATAGCTTCGACGCGGCTGTGGTGTGCCATTCAAAAGTTATTGTGGAAAACATTTGGGGAGGGTCAGTTTGACCTCTCACCCCCACTCGAGCTCGTGATACTAAAATGTGTTGTTTGAATGCCTGCTCAATGTCCACAGGGCAATCATGGCATTAGACTTTGATGTTGAAACATTCCTTCATAACTTGAAGGCAACAAAGCCTCCATATGAGTGTCCAGTGGAGAACTGTGGAAAGGTCTACAAGAGTTTCTCCGGCATTCAAGTCCATCTAGACAACTATGACCACAGTGTTGCTACTCCTGCCACACAATCTTCAAAATCTGGTAAGTCATAAGCAAGCAATTACTGTGTAATTAAGTTTTACTAATCCCGCCCGCGAATTTTGCGCACGAGCACTTTGCAACAGAGTGAGGGATACTGCTCAGTAATACATCGACGCGGATGCTCGTTCACTCACGGGCAGTAATCTGCAGTTAATGCATTGTTATTGGATGCTGCATGGCGTCAGCACATCCCACTGAGTTTGTCACGCCCTTGATGTCGACGCAGCTCGGAAGAAGGGCAAGAGCCGGCGTGGCCAGGCGGACCGGTCGCCGTCGCCGGTACCCTTCGAGCCCGTCAAGGTGTCGCGCGAGCCCAAGATCAGCTACGTGGACGCCACCAAGATGCTGGAGTATGAAGCCGATGGCTGCTCCCTTAGCTTCAGCATCTCCGACAGGCTCACCATCATGTCCAAGGTATTGACGGTTTTGTTGGCAGTGTAACAGTATGCAGTACCCATGCACGTTCTGGAATGGAATGCTCCTCCTGTGTAAAGCCTGATCAGAGAGCATTTGGTGCGATAATTCTGGGCCAGCTTCGAGGTCTCCGCTGCCTTGTGACGCGACAGCAAATTGGGTGTCTGCCCTGACATATCTTTGGATGGTCGTTATATCTGTACTTCCCAGACCTGGAACAAACCACAGCTGTCCATCCACTCCAGCCTCACTGCTGGAAAGCGAGTCAAATCCTAGCCAGACCAGTCTGCTTTAGGCTCCCAGCCACGAGCTGGCCACGTCGGCGCTCAGCTGTTCTGCTGCAGCACCATTCTGTCCTTGTGGTTGCTGCAGGCTGAGTTCAAGTCACCTCATGTGACTGGTACAAGTGGAGTTCGAGTGTTACAGGCCAGGTACAAATATCGCCCTCTATGTATGTCACAGGTCAAGTACGAGTCTCCCTGTGTGACTGGTGCAGGCCATGTGCGAGTTTTCCTATGTCTGTTGCAGGCCGAGTACGAGGCGCTGGTGCCGCCGCCGCAGGTGCTGCCCTCTAGCCCGGAGCCGGCACACCCTACGCCTGCCAAGCACGGGCCGGTGCGCGCCGGCCGCGCCGCCAGCGGCGAGGCGCGCCACCTGAGCCAGGCCGGCGACGAGCGCCGGCCGCGCGCGCTGCCGGAGGCCGCCTTCTGCGAGGGCGCCGACGACTATCAGCTGGACGACGCCCCGCCCATGCCCAACAACTACATCAGGTGAGGGCGCCGGCTGGCCGACCGGCCGCCACCTCAGGCATCCGCGTGGGGAGTCGGGATCCGTTCCCACGAGTGCCGTGGGAAGGCGGGGCAGCGTCCTCCAAGAGTCACGCCCGGGATCTGGAGGGGCAGCTTCCTCCCGGAGTCACGCCCGGGGTATGAACGGGTAGCGTCCTCCCAGAGTCACGCCCGGGGTCTGGATGGGCAGCGTCCTCCCAGAGTCACGCCTGGGGTCTGGACAGGCAGCATCCTCCCAGAGTCACGCCCGGGGCATGGACGGGTAGCGTCCTCCCAAAGTCACGACCGGGGTCTGGATGGGCAGCGTCCTCCAAGAGTCACGCCCAGAGTCTGAAGGGGTAGCGTCCTCCCAGAGTCACGCCTGGGGTCTGGATGGGCGGAGTCGTCTCAGAGTCACGCCCAGGGTCTGGAGGGATCGTGAGGGCTCGTTCGTGGTTGGACGTCGCGTGTGGTCAGGTGAGTGGTGTCTCGGACGCTTGCTGTAATTGTTGGCTGTTTGGCCAGGCGGCCTGGGTTCTGGGGAGTGGCGATCCGCTTGGCTGTTCGCTCACATCCGGTCTTTTTTGAAGTGTGTCGTAGGTTGCAAGGCGATGCCATCACACGGTCTGGCTATCAATGCGTTTGCGGGGGCGGGAATTGATTGTCGTAGCACGCTGCGGCCAGGCCAGGTATCGGCAGGCAGGCTGCGGCGTTGTAAGGGGCATTGAAGCGCATTGCGGCGGGCAGCGCCGCAACACGCTGGTGGAGAGTACCATGGGGGGGAAGGGGAGGGGGAGGGGGGTAGACACCGCGCCGCCGGCGGCGGCAGCACGCTCGTCCGTGGCGTCGATGCGCAGCGAGTCGCTGCCGCGCAGGTTCATCGAGAAGTCGCTGGACGAGCTGGACGAGGAGGTCGAGTACGACATGGACGAGGAGGACGTGGCTTGGCTGGAGATCACTAACCAGCAGCGGCGCGAACGCGGCCTGCCGCCCGTGCTGGACCGCGACCTGGAGATGCTGATGGACCGGCTGGAGAAGGAGAGCTACTTCCAGGTACACTTGCCGCCGCGCGGCTGGCGATGACGCGCAGCTTCGTGTGTCGAGACCTCCCGCACGGACAACGCTGACAAGCAGGGCCCCGTTAAGTATGCGCTGGTAAAGGCATGCTGGACATTGAAGACAGGAAAAACAGCCAAGTTAGTCGACGTACGCACATGCCGGGGGTGGACATCTGAAATCTTACGCATATTGTGGGGCACAGTCCAAGAATATGTAATTTTTTTTGGCACAGGGCCCATATTTGCTCTGCGACCTCCCACAAATTTACATAGGTTTGCAACGTTATCTTTACCTTTGTTTTGATACTGGCAATTTTCTTATGCCGTCTTCCTGTCATTTAATGGACCTGAAATGAAACATTCGCTGGACGAAGGGTATGTTTTTGACACCGATACTCCCAGTGTTGTCTTCGGTCTGTTGAGGTGTTACGTTTCGCACAACATCCACTGATGTCCGCGAATGGCCGGAAGTCTGATGTAAGCAGAGGTTGCTGATGACACTGACAACACTGATACTGAGGATGCTCTGAAATCGTCATTGTTGCCGGTCGTGTATTTTATCTTTGGCATTAAGTTCACTGTAGCGCTGCTCATGCGTCGAAGCCGGCGTGCCCGGCTCCCGTACGCTGCGTGCGCATGTGGGCGGGCCGCGGCCTTCGCCGCCTGAGTGCGTGCCAACCCGATGCCGCCAGAGAGCGTGCCGTCCCGGTGCTGTCTGAGAGCGTGCCGCCCCGATGCCGTCTGGGGGCGCGCCACCCCGGTGCCGTCTGAGAGCGTGCCGTCCCGGTGCCGTCTGGGGGCGCGCCGCCCCGATGCCGTCTGGGAGCGCGCCGCCCCGATGCCGTCTGGGAGCGCGCCGCCCCGATGCCGTCTGGGAGCGCGCCGCCCCGATGTCGTCTGAGAGCGTGCCGTCCCGGTGCCGTCTGGGGGCGCGCCACCCCGATGCCGTCTGAGAGCGCGCCGTCCCGGTGCCGTCTGGGGGCGCGCCACCCCGATGCCCCCTGAGATTGTGCCGTCCCGGTGCCCTCCAAGGGCGTGCCGCCCCGATGCCGCCAGAGAGCGCACTGCCGCGATGCCGCCTGAGAGCGCGCCGTCCCGATGCCACCTGAGAGCATGCCGTCCCGGTGTCGTCTGAGAGCGCGCCGCCCCGATGCCACAGGCGCAGACGACCGTCGGCACGAACGCGGCGCCGATCGACGAGGAGGCCGTCTGCTGCATCTGCATGGACGGCGAATGCGAGAACAGCAACGTGATCCTGTTCTGCGACATGTGCAACCTGCCGGTGCACCAGGAGTGCTACGGCGTGCCTTACATCCCCGAGGGCCAGTGGTGGTGCCGTCGCTGCCTGCAGTCGCCCTCACGCGCCGTCGACTGCGTCCTCTGCCCGAACAAGGGCGGCGCCTTCAAGCAGACCGACGACAACCGCTGGGCGCACGTCGTGTGCGCCCTTTGGGTGCCCGAGGTCTGCTTCGCCAACACGGTGAGGGCGTGAGCGGACCGGGCCGAGGGCGGCGGCCGACCAGCGCCGGCGTCCCGGAAGAGGCTCGGCACACGCTGCTGCCTCGCCGGGTCTCAGGTCCATGCAGTGTTGTTGGCAGACGTCTCGTGTGGTGTGAGCGAGCCGCTCTGTTCCGTGAGGCCCTGTGGACGCTGATACACTCTAGTCCAGCCATGACATCAAGCCTAGATATGCCGCAATCCTTGAAGCGACTGTAGTGTTAGGTGCCGCCCCAGCCATTGGTGCGGTTCGGTGTGACGCTGCAGGCGATATGATCACGGGTTTGCGCGTCCCTGCCAAGCGACGCTGGTCTGTGACGGCGCCTGTCTCTGTGTCTGACAGGTATCTCTGCAGCCGATCGACAGCATTGTCTGTGTCTGGCAGGTATTTCCGGAGCCGATCGACACCATTGTCTCTGTGTCTGGCAGGTATCTCTGGAGCCGATCGACAGCGGTGTCTCTGTGTCTGGCAGGTACCTCTGGAGCCGATCGACAGCATTGTCTCTTGTCTGGCAGGTATCTCTGGAGCTGATTGACATCATTGTCTCTGTGTCTGACAGATATCTCTGGAGCCGATCGACACCATTTTCTCTGTGTCGGGCAGGTATTTCTGGAGCCGATCGACACCATTGTCTCTGTGTCGGGCAGGTATCTCTGGAGCCGATCGACACCATTGCCTCTGTGTCCGACAGGTATTTCTGCAGCCGATCGACAGCCTTGTCTCTGTGTCTGACAGGTATTTCTAGAGCCGATCGACAGCATAGACAGGATACCGCCGGCCCGCTGGAAGCTCTCCTGCTACATCTGCAAACAGCGTAACGTCGGCGCCTGCATACAGTGTCACAAGGCCAACTGCTACACAGGTAAGCGATGCGCTCACCGTCGTGGCGCAGTACGCCGGTCATGTGCCGGGAGTTTGTATGCCTGTTTTCTTAGGAGACCCGGTGCGTACCGTGACATTGGCATGGTCGTCGTCTTCGTCGCAAGCCCTTGAATTCGGGAAGCGGTCTGAGGCTTAAGATGATACTGCGTGATAGCGGTGTGTATAGTGTTAGTTGGTGATGCTTGGAAATTGCGAGCGATTTTCGTGACAGCGTACTGTCACGCAAGGCGAGATGAGCAAGGGGTGGTCAGTGCAGGATATGGCCGCCTCCTTTACCGGAAATGGTGTATTTGATCGAACCTTCCGGTGTGCGGACTTGCGTCGGAGGTCGCGTCTTGTTATTGTGTAATTAGTTTGTTATCAATTCCAAGTAAGGTGATGCCAGGCATTACTCATCCTTTGCGAGACGTGTTCCCTGGCTCAGCTGTACGCCATTTCTTGACCTGCATTCTGGCGTAGCTGACGGTGCATACCCCCCATCTGAGCTGGTCCCTGACACTGCATACCCTCCATCAGAGCTGGTCCCTGACACTGCATGCTCTCCATCAGAGCTGGTCCCTGACCCTGCATACTCTCCACCAGAGCTGGTCCCTGACCCTGCATACCCTCCATCAGAGCTGGTCCCTGACACTGCATGCTCTCCACCAGAGATGGTCTGTGACACTGCATGCTCTCTGTCAGAGCTGGTCCCTGACCCTACATACCCTCCATCAGGGCTGGTCCCTGACACTGCATGCTCTCCACCAGAGATGGTCTCTGACACTGCATGCTCTCTGTCAGAGCTGGTCCCTGACCCTGCATACCCTCCATCAGAGCTGGTCCCTGACCATGCATACCCTCCATCAGAGCTGGTCCCTGACACTGCATGCTCTCCATCAGAGCTGGTCCCTGGCCCTGCATGCTCTCCACCAGAGCTGGTCCCTGACCCTGCATGCTCTCCACCAGAGCTGGTCCCTGACCATGCATACCCTCCATCAGAGCTGGTCCCTGACACTGCATGCTCTCCATCAGAGCTGGTCCCTGACCCTACATGCTCTCCCCAGGGCTGGCCCCTGACACTGCATGCTCTCCACCAGAGCTGGTCCCTGACACTGCATGCTCTCCACCAGAGCTGGTCCCTGACACTGCATGCTCTCTGCCAGAGCTGGTCCCTGACCCTGCATGCCCTCCCCAGAGCTGGTCCCTGACACTGCGTGCTCTCCACCAGAGCTGGTCCCTGACCCTGCATGCCCTCCACCAGAGCTGGTCCTTGACGCTGCATGCTCTCCAACAGAGCTGGTCCCCGGCCCTGCATGCCCTCCACTAGAGCTGGTCCCCGACTCTGCATACTCTCCACCAGAGCTGGTCCCTGACCCTGCATGCCCTCCACCAAAGCTGGTCCCTGATCCTGCATGCCCTCCACCAGAGCTGGTCCCTGATCCTGCATGCTGTCCACCAGAGCTGGTCCCTGACCCTGCATGCTCCCCACCAGAACTGGTCCCTGACCCTGCCCGTGCGCCGGCAGCGTTCCACGTGACGTGTGCGCAGCAGGCGGGCATGCACATGAAGATCGACGCGGTGCGCGAGACCAGCTCCACGGGCACCTCCTTCACCGTCCGGAAGGCGGCCTACTGCGACATCCACACACCGGCCGACTCGGACGCGGTGAGAGAGCCCCGACAGCGACAGCGGACGATGCACCAGAGGCGGCCGCCCGCGCGGCGCCGCACGTCAGGGACGGCGGTGCGGCGCCGCGCCGGCTACAGGCCCTGCATGCCGTCGGCCGGCGTGAGATGTGTGTGCGTGGAGTGCTGTTGGGCCGGTGAGCGGCCGGGCTAGTTGGCAGTCAGTGGCGGCTGGACTGACACCAGCAGCGATGTCGGACTGACACCAACGGTCATGTCGGACTGACACCAGCAGTCATGTCGGCCACATGCGGAGATCAGCGGGCCGGGCACGGCCAGTGTGTGCCGTTGCGCCGATGAACTGGTCGCTCGGGACGTTCTGATCAACAGTGGTGTGTCTCCTTGCGACGTCGTGAGTTTTAATGGCATTGCTACCCAATGGTAGGTTGTTGCTGTATGGTCCTGTGTTGTAAGGTCAAAGTTTCGCAAAATCGAAGTGCAGAAGGTGGCTGCTCAGTAATTTGAAACCAGCTGCATTTTAAATATTGCAATTTGATGGCACAGGCCAAAACCGCCGCTTCGAACGACGGCGGCTTCTAAATTACTGTCACGTGGCAAAAAGAAGAAGAGCGTCACACTAGAATAAAGGCGTTCACTTAAAACATAAGCACAATGTAAGTGTTGCACTGCCGTGGTCACCAGCACTCAGGTCCTGTGGTCCTGGTGATCACATGATCCTGTGACCGCAGGTCCCTTGGTCTTGTGGTCCTTGGTGACCACGGGATCTCATGACCACAGGTCTCGTGGCTCTGTGGTCCTGGTGATCACATCATCCTGTGACCGCAGGTCCCGTGGTCCTGTGAGCCTGGTGACCACGAGATCCCGTGACCGCAGGTCCTTTGGTCTTGTGGTCCTGGTGATCACGAGATCCCGTGACCGCAGGTCCCTTGGTCTTGTGGTCCTGGTGATCACGGGATCCTGTGACCACGGGTCCCTTGGTCTTGTGGTCCCTGGTGACCACGGGATCCTGTGACCACGGGTCCCTTGGTCCTGTGAGCCTGGTGATCACGAGATCCCGTGACCGCAGGTCCCTTGGTCTTGTGGTCCTGGTGATCACGGGATCCTGTGACCACGGGTCCCGTGGTCCTGTGAGCCTGGTGATCACATGATCCTGTGACCGCAGGTCCCTTGGTCTTGTGGTCCTCGTGATCACGGGATCCTGTGACCACGGGTCCCGTGGTCCTGTGAGCCTGGTGATCACGAGATCCCGTGACCGCAGGTCCCTTGGTCTTGTGGTCCTGGTGACCACGGGATCCTGTGACCACGGGTCCCTTGGTCTTGTGGTCCTGGTGACCACGAGATCCCGTGACCGCAGGTTCCATGTAGCTGTGATATCGGGCCGCCCGTGTCCTCATGCGTTCAGCGACATATTGGGTGGTCGTGCGATCGATGGCACCGTGGTCACTGGTGACGTCACGGCGGTGGGCCGTGGTGCGCTGGCCAGTGCTGAGCTTGCGTCCCTTGCCGGCCAGAAGCCCCAGCTGGAGGAGGGCCCCATGGACTCGGCGCGCAAGGCGCAAGCAAAGGCCGAGTCGCGACAGAAGATGCGCAAGGCGCGCAAGATCTTGGCCGAGAGACGCTCGGCCATGCCCGTCGTCTCCGTGCCCACCATACCGCCCGAGAGGTCAGTGCCGGTCAGAGCGGACCCGGCCGGTCAGTACCGATCAGAGCCGGCCCGGCAGGTTAGTACGGATCAGAGCCGGACCGGCAGGTCAGTACCGATCAGAGCGGACGCGGCCGGTCAGTATCGATCAGGGCCGGCCCGGCAGGTCAGCAGACCGTCCGTCTCCGTCGGCCGTGTCACCCACCACGCCCTGCTGTGTCACCAGTAGTCATCAGCAAAGCGTCCGACTGATCGGAGTGGGGGTGGGGGGGGGGGGGGAGGGGGGAGGGGGGAAGATAAGCGGTGCGATCCAGCCAAGCGACACTCGGCCGCCGAAGCGTCCTTGAACGGCGAGACAAAATTGCACCCTGTTTGTGATATAACTGTTCCCGGGTTGACTAATCATTTTATTGTAACGACGAGACAGATGTTTTGGTTAAATGAAAAACAAGCTTTTAAATGAATGAACAGTAATATAAGTTTTTAAGCGCATTTACGTACAGGTAGCCAAGGGAACACACTGTAGCAGACAAAAGCGTATAACCGACACGTATCGACCTAACACGATAATTGCCTGTTTCCACAAACACAGTTTTCGAAGGCCTAATCACGTACCTGCGCACATGCTTGTCTGTAGTACACGAAACCGGTACCCGGAATGCGTCAGAAGCGGCTGTATGCGAAGCCATGTATATTGCTGTCGGACTCTGTCGTAGGACGAGAAGTAATGCGTTTTTGATTTTGCAAAATGTTCGCTAAAGTAACTGGTGTATTAACCCGTGCGTTTTAATCATGCAAGCGCCCCCAGCGCCGCCCCTATTCTGGCGGCCCCAGTGTCTTCCCTCTCCCGGCGGTCCTCAGTGTCGCCCCTTCTCCGGGGGCGCCCAGTCGCCCCAGCTGCGACGGTCCCCAGCACCGGCCCTCTCCCGGCGGCCCCTGCGGCTGTCTGGCGTGGGGATAACGTGCCTGACCGCGCGGACCGCGCCGCCAGGGTGCAGCACCTGGCCTCCCTGATCGAGTACCCGCGCAAGAACCACTTCATCCAGCGCCTGCTGGCCTACTGGACGCTGAAGCGGTACTCGCGGAACGGCGTGCCCCTGCTTCGCCGTCTGCAGGTGTCGGCCAAACAGGCGCGGCGCTCCGACGGCGTCGCCCGGGACGCCGGCCAGGACAAGGTCAGACGGGCAGGGAAGACGGGGGGGGGGGGACAGGGTCAGGCTCGGAAGGCGGATGACCAGAGGCCGACGGGGACGGTCAGGGCGAGGGGACGGGGCCAGACGTTCTGTCTGTTTGGGGGTA